GGGGCCGGAGGGCCAGCGGTGGCGAGGCCTGCTCGGCAGCCACGTGTCCTGCTCCGTAGGTGCCGGAGCGCGTCGCGCCCCCGGGGCCGTGCGGAAGCGGGGGGAAAGATTAGCTCTCTAGGGGAGTGGGCCCGGGTCCTCTGGGTCGGAGCTCTGCCCTCTCTCTCGGGAGTACTCGTGAGCGGCCGTCGTCCTCAGGCCGCAGGGGCCGGGGTCAACATTGCCAGTGTCCGAGAGCCTGGTTACCCGGCGGTGGGGGTGGGAAGGTGAAGATCGATCTCTACTGCTGGGATCCAGTGGCTGAGCTAATTCTCGGTAACGGGCTCTTGTGAGGAAATGAGCCACAAAAATACCGTGCTGCAGAACGGAGAGGGTATCTTTCCCTTATTTATAACTAAATGTTATAACTGTATAGCATTTATAACTATAAACTAAATATAATTTTGTTAAGACGGTGCCTTAAGATTTTGAGTGAATGCCTGAGAATGAAAGGAGTGGTACTGTTTTGTTTAGTGTGAGATGTTAATCTTGGGCATGAAACTAAGACTTTTAGATTGTTAAAATTGACTAGGAATTCACTAGTGCAAAAATGAGGTGCTGCACTAATACACGTTTGGCTTTTTAGAAAACAGCAACTGCTGTTGCCCACTGCAAGAGGGGAAATGGCCTCATTAAAGTGAATGGAAGACCTCTGGAAATGATTGAGCCCAGAACTCTGCAGTATAAAGTAAGCATCCCTCCAGCCTCCCCCACCACCCTTGGATATTAAAATACTATTATGCAGATAATTGCTTGGCGGTGGAGAAAAATTGCTTGCCCTATTGACAGTACTACATTTTTGGTTGTGTGTTACCTGATCACTTGAAACGTAGACACTGTTACGAAAATTCAGAAAAACATCTTTTTATGATTGTCTTGTTGGGAGGGGTGGGGTTTTTTTTTCTTAATTGGATTAATGTGTATTAATGTAACATGAAGTATTTTCAGTACTTCACATCCGCTTTTTAAATTGAAATGGGTGACTTAAACCCCTCCTTTTAAAAAGATTCTTTAGGGCTTAACACAGTAGCTGTTTGAATACTGCTGAGAGAATCTAAACTGACTAGATAAATATAAAGTGTAATAAATAGTGGACAAAACCACCCACAAATTACTTCAGGTCTTCAATTTTAATAACTTGATTTATTTTTCTAGTGCTATTGTAATTGTGGCATTCTACTTAAGCTATTCCCTTGCTCTTAATTCCCATGTACATATGCTTTGCTATTAAGGTTTTTGAAACTTTAAAAAAAAATATTCAAGACTTCAGTAAGTTTATTTTACAACAGTAGTAGTAGATGTCAAAGAACTCTGCAAGAAGTGTGCCTAACTTGGGTGTGTGCTTGTAAAATCAAGGCTCCGCTTTTCAGAACATTGGATAACTTCACATTTGGGAAACCTCCTGCAGGCTCTAATCCTTGTTGTCTCTGATCACAAGTGAATTTTCTTACTGCGTTTTGTTTCTCAGCTGCTTGAACCTGTCCTCCTCCTGGGGAAGGAACGGTTTGCTGGTGTTGACATCAGAGTCCGCGTAAAGGGTGGTGGCCATGTAGCACAAATCTACGGTACGATTTTGCGTGGGATCTTTGGTGTGGGCTAGAACAAGTCAAGCCACATACTTACGAGGCTTGAGTTTAGAATAGGAACTTGCGCATCGTGATGTTCTGTTTCTTTTTCACTTCTTATTAAGGGCTTATGGGTTATATTGTATGTGCAGAGCTATAACATCTAGAATAAATTGTTGAAATTCTGAGGAAATACGAGGAAATGATCTTTGTGTCTTGCAGTGTGACAGGGCAGTTGAAGCGGAGCTGAGCAGAAAGATTTTGGGAGGGGAAAAGGGGATTTATTATTAGAAATTTTACCTTTAGTTCTAAATTTCCATGTTGTTCAGAAGCATCCTTCAGCTGGCCTGCAAAGCTAGGTAGTTTTTTCCCTTGCAGAGCAGACTGAGAACGTACTTGCATTAGCTGTTGATAGAGTTGCTCTTTACAAATGATAGATTTGTTCTGCTGTTACAGTTCGGGTATAGGTTAGTGAAGTGGAGCTGAAGCTGCATGAAGAGCAGCGACGTGTTTCAGTCTCAAAGTTGACTGCATTCATTTTTTCAGAAAATTCAGATTTTCACCAAAGTCCTGATCTTCACATTCTGACAGATAACAGCCTAACAAAATCTTTGCGGTTATGCCCGTACTCCTGGTTTGAGTTCTGATTACTGTGTTACTGTGCTGTAGTCTTGCTTTATTGAGATATGCTAGAAGAACTGCTCATACCATCCTATTGTCCCTTTTGCCTCCTTAGTCTTGGAACACACCGATCAATTTTATCCTTGTTGAAAAGCATAGGCGTTTCGGAGGATTGTGTTTCTAAGGGTTTTGGAAGTTGACTGCTTGTAGGTAGAAGATGAACCTACGTTAGTACTCTGAAGAGAAGGTGATCAGGACTGCTGGCAGTTGTCAAATCAACAAGTGAACTGCAGGTGGCCTCTTGGCACAGATTTCTTCAGATTTGCCAAAGTAAAGCTCACGTGGAATATGTGGGAGGGGAGGTTAAGGAGGGGAAGGACAATCTGGCAGAAAACAAGACAGCAAGTTTCTCAGATAACTGGCACTTTGTGTTTAAGTTTTAAATACATTTGCAATCCTTACTGATCCATTATCTTTTTTTAACAGCTATCCGTCAAGCTATTTCCAAAGCACTGGTGGCTTACTATCAAAAATGTAAGTTGTTTTGATTGTTTTATTAGCCTTAAGTGGAAATGTATGGCTTCTGGTAGTTTTGGTGCAAAAAATGTTAATATGGGTTTGTTCCATGTGAAACTTCTTAAACTGAAGATTTTTTTAAATTTTTTTTTTTTTAACAGATGTTGATGAAGCTTCCAAGAAAGAGATCAAGGATATTCTAATCCAGTATGACAGGACTCTGCTGGTGGCAGATCCTCGCCGTTGTGAATCCAAGAAATTTGGAGGACCTGGTGCTCGTGCGCGCTACCAGAAGTCTTACCGTTAAAACTGTTCTACAGTCATGTGACAGTCAATAAACATAAAGAGAATTTGATACATTTCATGTTTCTAAATTGCGTTTTTCTATGTGGGTAAATAGATTTTTCACGGTGTGTTAAGATTGATACACAAATTGATTGGTATGAAGGTAAAATCAGAGGGCTGCTGGCGGTTCTCTTTTTATCCTTTCATAGTAAGTAAGTCTAGATAGATAGGGTCGTGGGAATAAAGAAGAGCTTTTTCCTGATAATGAATATGTGGTTATCAGAACATAAAGAAGGCTTACATCCTGTTTTTTGTGGGTATGTGCAACAGCGTAGCAGTTCATTAATGCGGAGTTCAATCTTCGCCTTTCTGGTAAATCTAAACAAAGGTGGACCTTTTCCAGTACCTGGATGGCCACTCTTCATGGTGGTGTGAACCGACGTGAGTAGCCCATGTTCTTCCCACGTGACAACGTCTGTCTCAGCCTGGTTACAGACTTAGTAGTCCATAATGCACGAGAGTGTGGATCTGACTCCTAGCTGGTAACTTGTATATCGTGTGTTACGTGACCTGCTTTAGTATGCCGTCCTAGCGTAACGCGGCATATTATTAAGCATCTTTCCGCATACACTTCAGCACTGGCAGTTTGTGTTCTCGCAAAGGGCTTCTCTTGTCCTTGAATATTCACCTGAAATAACCACACTGAGAGGGAAGTTCCAAACACTGCTGTGGAATACTGCATAGCAATGAGTACTGTCCGTCTGCACAAACTGCTTCTGTTTGTGCTTGCTTAGTGTTTAGTGGCAAGGAATTTATCCCCTTGAGGGTAACTCCCTCAACATAGCGCTGAAGTGGGTATTCAGGCAGCTGTTCTGAAGTTTGTATTTAAAGTTTACGTTGTCAAAACCAAAGTAATTATGGGGGCAGGGGAGGGAGGCTTATTGAACTCTTGCCATACCAGATACTACCGAGACAAGAGTTTTCTGGATTAGTATGTCTAAATGTAGGAAACTTTTTTTCTTTAAATAACAAACCCCATATATTCTGTATAAAGAATAGTATTTTGTAAATGTAAAATGTAAAAAGGATTTTGTGTTACAAATAAGATTGGGTCTAAATTACTCATCCTTCAACCACGTGTTCACACAGCACAAGCACAGAGGGATGTAGACCTGGAGAAAAATGTCAAATGATTTAATAAAAAGAAAAATCCCTGTGGAAGTCTGACAGTTGCTTATGTCATGGGCTAGGTGAGGCACTTTGAAGGCCTTGGGGAAGTAAGCAGGAAAAACCTGGAGTTGAAAATATGACTAATTTTCAAAGGTCTAGCTAGGGTGTGTTTGCATCAAACATGAAATGTTGGAGAAGTTCCAGCTTCTCATTCATTGAAACTGAAGATTTTTGTTCTGGAAGTGATCTCCCGGGGACAAAAGAAGGGTAAAGTTCTGTTTAAGACATGGGATGTGCCAAGAAAAGGCTGTTGGAAAGGCTAATTCTGTCTCTTGGAAGAGTTGCAAGTAATTGAGGCCTTGGATGTGAGCTGACCCACCAAGCATGGGAACAGTCCTGGACTGTTGTTTTCCTATGTTTGAAAACCAGTTTGGAGAGGAACTGGAAGAAACATTGGAGACTAAGCGACTGAGAGCCTAGCTTCTGCTGTATTGCTTTCGAAGCCTGCTATTTTTGTGTCTATCATTGTACACCAATAGTGAAACTGTTACAGGAGCACCTTGATCCTTGAGATTTTTGTTGGGCTTTCTACTAATGTGGTATTTCTTCTCTCACTTGTTTAACAGTAGGTCATTTCAGCGTACCCAGTCAACACAAAGCTAAACCAGCTTCCTTTGTGAGTTGGGTTGGGGAATTGGAAAGAATAGTACAATTTTGCCCTTTTGCTCTAGTTTAGGTAAAATGGTGTTCGTGGCTTTTTATAAATGTTAATATTTGTTCAGCCTAGAGAAGAGAAGGCTTCGGGGAGACCTTACTGCAGCCTATCAGTACTTAAAGGGGGCTTTTAAAAAAGATGGCGGCAAACTTTTAGCAGGGCCTGTTGCGACAGGACAAGGGGGAATGGCTTTATGCTAAAGGGGGGTAGATTTAGACTAGATAGAAGGAAGAAATTTTTTACGCTGAGGGTGGTGAAACACTGGCCCAGGTTGCCCAGAGAGGTGGTGGATGCCCCATCCCTGGAAACATTCAAGGTCAGGTTGGCCGGGGCTCTGGGCAACCTGATCTAGTTGAAGATGTCCCTGCCCACGGCAGGGGGGTTGGACTAGGTGGCCTTTAGAGGTCCCTTCCAAACCAAACCATTCTATGATTCTATGATTTGTTATGATGTCTCTGCTTTTTCTGTAGAAAGGCATTTAAGGCATCCTCACTGAAGTGTAGTTATTCAAGAGTTAAAATGTGTAACTTGAACAAATTCCTTCTGAAAAGGAAATCTCCATCCATCTCCCATTTTAGCTGTCAGCGTCTGCCACAAAATACTGCATTACATGACCTGAATAGAACTAGAACACTTATTCAAAGCCCTCACACTCCCATTGAAATGGAGGGGACTGCTGTATATTCTATTGCCAATTTACATACCAGGATTTTTTGTCTTACACTAAGTGAATGAGAGATTCTATTCCAGACACTTGCTGTCTCTTTGGCAAGATGCATGGTTTGCTTTCCTCAGTCCCCGCTTTCTGCACCCTTAGATAGGACCCATTTCTTGTCCAGTGAGTTCCTCAGAGTTTCTACCTTGTAGTAGAGTTGCTCTTGGGCTGCTGAAAACTGCGATGTTCTGCCTCCTAGCCTGGCTTTCTAAGGAAAAGATGCTATGCAGGGCTAACTTCAAATTTGGTTACTTGAATTCCTGTGAGTTTTGTGAAAACTGGCATCTTGATAGATGTTAATTAGCTTCAGCTGAGGAAAAATAATCCTTCTAGTTGTTTGGCTCGTGCGGTGACTGAAAAGCAATGGCTCACTCGTTGCTTCGGAAATGTGTACTGGCCTGCCAGTTGGCACATGCGTACCCTGTGCCGTGGCTTGTCCAAAACTGATTCTTGCCTAGTTGTTAGAGCAGTCAGACGGAGGGAAAAAGAGAGGACACAAAATTACTGTGGTGTGAAACTCAGGGAGGCAGGGGGAGATGCAATACCTGATGCCAGTAACCTTAGGGGTGGATTTTGCAGTTAGTGGGAAACCTGATGTATCAGTTTTTCTGCCCACAGAACAGCTTGTAGCAATTGGGGATTTTTGTTTTGCTGTTCTTTTATGGAAATGCTGAAAATAAAACTCGCATTGCTACTAATATATCCAGAGATGATATCTGCATGTCATTTCTCCAACGAAAAGGCTCTTAGCATAATAAAAATGCTTTCTGAACTGAACTCTGATCCTATAAAAATGCCCCATTAATCCTGTAGAGTGATGTCATCCCCACAGACTTGCTTTCTAAATGAGAAACGTTCATGGAATCGGGCTGGTGTCTGCCTGGGTGGCTGAAGATTTTTATTCTGAACGGTTACTTACTGATCACCCACTAGAGGGCTTAACTTCACTGGGGAAGCATAACTACCGTGAAGTTTGAAGGTGTAAGGAGAAAACCTGTTCATACAAATGTTTCCTTTCCTGATGTCCTGATTCTGCAGGGATGGCAATCAAGCTCTTGCCATTGAGCATCCGCTCTGGCCAGGGACACACTTCCACAGAGAAATAATGACAGTTTGATCTTCAAGCCCCTAGCGAGGTTCTTCAGCATCCGTGGAGGTGGTTCTTGGAAAAGAAGAAATGCCCCTAACCTCGTATTGTCCAGCTCTTTCATTAGTTTCACTGATGCTAATGCTTAGGAAGATCAGGTGCGCACATCAAAATGTGACCTCACTTGAACTCTTCGTTGAAAATACCAGTTCAATGAAGGCTGGAGTGTGAGCTCTAAAAAGCACCATGTTTTGTTAATGATGACAGGGGATCCAATTCCAAACCAGGGCAAGCTTGTACCCGTGGCACTGAAGGCAGTTATTTTCTCTCCCATGGTTTATAATCCTGATAAACTGTGTAACCTGTCTAGAAAATTAAGTCATCTCAAATGTTATGTTGGAAAATTTGGGGCAAATTAATTTTAACTGTAATAAATATATTAACATTGAAATGTTTAGATTTTATTTTTAAAGAAAAATCTGTAACTTAAAAATGTAACACTAGCATTTTTAAAGTCTGGACCAGTGAGTTCTGTATTGTGTTTGTTTTCTTACAAAAGTGATTATTTGCTAATGCATTTTTTCTGTTCAAACTTTTCAGAAGTCCCAATCTGTGAGTATTCTACTACTTGTGTAGATAATGTGTGTCGTTGCCTCGATATAATTTGATTCATTTTTTTAAATCTCTTTCTTAATATAGACCTCTGAGTTACAGTTCAGTGTACTTGGCTGAATAATTCTTTTCCCTTATTAGCTAACATCCTTCATGTGCTTGGGACTGTGCTGTTTCCTACCCTGCCTTGAGTGGAGATATCCAGACCTAATGAAACCTATTGCTCTAACTCTTACAAAGCCCCTTTGCAGCTGATGAGGCTTGGCCTACTTTTTAAATATTAGGAGTTAAACAACTGTGAAATAGTAACATGCACCAAATATTCCCTCAACTTTGCTATAGAAAAATTGTAAAGAGAAAAAAAAGGTTATTTTTGATAGTTTCTGTTGAACCAAAAGAATTCATTTATATTAATGGAAAGATTTATTTGTGAAGCTGCATATGAAGCATGATGTGAAATACGGTCTTGAGGAAGGGAAGAATCCCAGATCAGATTTCTCAGAAGAGTTTGAAACAGTTTCTAAACCAGACTTAGCTTGAAACTAAGGTAACACGGAGACTGGTAATGGAATTCGGAATCTCTAATGCTTGGGTTCATCTCAGGTTGAGAGCAACCTAAGGCATCATCCTCTAAGAGTAGGTTTATGTGAAATGTTGAGTAGCCTCTGCCTCCTCCTATAAGATAGGTGCCCATGTAGTAGTTCACAGTCTGTGAGTAGTGTGTTAATTTGGATCAGGAACTCAATTCTTTCGCTTCTGTTTGCAGTCTGGAGTAGTTTTGGACCACACGGAGCAGATGAAACTACGCTGGGAGATGCAGTCCAGCTGCAGATAAGCAGCCAGTCCATGGGACCAGCCCATAGCTAGCCAGAAGTAAAATCAAAGCAGAAAACCTCTTGAAATGCCAATTATGTGAATGCCAGCTTCTCAGATCCAACAGTAATAAAAATAATTCTTAAGCAACACTCCAAACACAGTGTAGTGTTATAATATATATCAGTTTGCAATAAGTACCCTTGGGCCACCAGTGATCCTGAACCTGCATGAGTACTGTTGGCTGCTGGGTGGACACAGGGTTTTGTCTCCGTCTGTGGCTGGAGAGGTTGAGTGTTTTCCTTTGCCTTCTCTTCTAGTCCAGCCGGGGAGCGGGGAAGAGAAAGGGCTAGAAGAAATGATGGGAGAACTTCTACCCAAGACAGGCTGTCAACTTCTGAATTTTATTTTGGTCCAAACCTACCTTCTGTAGCATGCGCAGGAGGTCTCACAAAGCACATCCTAGTGGAGGGTTAGGCAAAAGATAGGCTTCGCAAAATAAAATGAGTAGTAGCAGTTTAAATTAGCATTATATGTGTCTTTAAAACTGCGCTTTTTAATGATTCTGTTAATGTTAGGGTAAAGCAAGTAAGATTTTTCTGTCTTTAAATATGATCATTTTTAATTTTGCTGAAATTATATTTTTGTATTTTAATGAAAATTAGAAACAAAACCCATTGGCCCTATTGACTTCTTTCTCCTTTTTGCTAATATGAAGTTTTCATAACATGTTTTATTAAAAATGAAATATAATTATCCTCTGGGAAGCCTTCTTTTGTGATATAAGAAAATTATACACAAAAATGTATCTAAAATATTCTTAAAAATCCAGGTGTATTATTTAATGGAAGTTCATGTCTCTCCTTTTAGAACAGATAAGGAACATGAATATGATAATCTCTAAGACCATCTGGTTATAATTTATACAGTAGCATCATTGCAGGGTCTTGCAAAAATATTTCACTGTAATAAGCAGTAAAGGGCAGCACTCAGCGCAAGCCTCAAAGCACACAAAGGTGTGTGACGACTGAAGGAACTCTCAAACCATCGTGACATGGCAACATTTCTATGTCATTGTCTGCTATGTTATAAAGGGCCGATTCAATTCAACAGAGGAGTAATACTCGCAGGTCTGGTGAAAGTGTAACTAATACAGACTCTGCTGAGGAGTTACCATGCATTACCAATGAGAGACATGCAGCCAGAAAGTTGCATGCAACGCTTGCAAAGCTCCTGAAGGTGTATGTAGCTACCAAGCTTGATGTCTCCTTTTCTTTTCCTTTTTTGCATTTCCAACTATCTAACTTTTAGAGGATTTTTAGAGGATTAAAAGGATTAAATCCTTTTTAGAGGATTTAAACACACTGTAGAAATACATAGTTCTAAGATGCCATCGTAATCAAAGCCATTAATTTGGATAAATTTCCTATTACTAAGTTATACTGAAATGAACGTTGTGGGAAAGCTCAATTTAATGATACTGTGGAGTATATTCTTGCTTCATTCACTGCTGTCCTCTTTGCAAGGTAAGAACTTTATTCCATTTTTGTAGTAATACTAACTTTTAAAAAGATTTTTCTAAATATTTCAATAATACGTCTTCTTATTTTTCTATCATTATAAAGCAATTTTTTCAAACCTTGCTGGAATTCATAAATAAAAAAGTTTTTTAACACAGGTTAGAAAACTATATATCACCATTCTCTCTCACAGGTGTAGAAACTAAAATATAGCTCTTACTTTTTTTTTAAAGACACATTTTTATGTCTGAATTTGATACAAAACAATTGTTAGGACTGAAATTCAAGTTTCTTGGCTTTCTTGCCATTATTGCCAGACGAGTAAGCATATAATGATTTTCAGTGGGGTGTGATTTTATTCGATCAGACTGCACCTGCAGTTTGTTTAAGCATTTTTAGAATGCTAGGGTAAATAATCACTCTTCTGGTTATAGAAACGATCCTACTTTCTATGTAATGCAAATGGATCTTGTAGACAGTTTTCCTGCAGCAATTATAAATATTTCTAAGGCAATATGAGAAAGAAGGGTATTTTTTGTTTCTTTGGTTTGTTTTTCTTTTAAAGCATGGACTCTAGAGCATTTTAAGTGCACTGCAATTGAGTTTTACAAGTAACATTCAGAAAATGATTACAGGTAACCACCCTGGAAGTTTGATTCTGGAACACTCTGAGCACCTCTCGTATTTTATCAATCAGTTTTGTTCTGAGCCTCTGAAGAACTATGAACTCTTTGCTCTTCTTCATGGTAGCACATACCAGAACTGAGACCGTGGAAACTTGCAGGTGATGAGTACGTGAGAGAATCAAACTCTCAGAAAGGAAAGCATGTAGTGCTACATCCCTTGGAAATCTAAAAAGTTCATGTAAAGATGCCCTGGAAAACCTAGGCTCATTAAAGAACAAAATTCAATAGTGGTGTTTGAAACTTGACAAACTGTTGTTTGCCAAGTGCAGAGTGAGGCTGTAGAAAAAACATTTTAACTTGATGACTTTTTAATCTACAGGATCTTATTGCAAGCTTTCTCTTTTGAGAAGAACTTCAAGGTAAGTTTTTATTCCTTATTTGTCAAGTCCTACAAACAGAACAAGAATGAATAAGTGTGACGCAGTGCAAGTTAGAAAGTAAAATACAGCCTTGAATTCGACATGTAAAATGTCATGTACATGTACATTGGATGTAAAACACACTTTCAGAATGTTTACAACTCTTTCCAAAGAAATTACATAAAGGGCATGGGTCCTCTGTTTGAAAAATGGAGGTCCTTATGAAAAATTATACTTCTATGGTCTCAAGAGAGCTTAGAGGAATAATGGAATGAAACCAGGATGAGATCATGTTTTCATGACTGGAAAAATACATTAAATGAGTATCCTTCTACAGTTTTAATTGCATGATAAAATCCTAGCTGCTATTTGAAGCACAGAAAAGTAAGTGCTATACAGCCTTAAAATAAACATTTTCAATACAAGTTTTCATGTAGAAGCCGAAATCCAAACAAACCCCAAACTAGGGAATGTTCCTGATCCCATTGAATTAAATGGGAACTATGCCATCAATTTCAATGGAAGCATCCAGTCGGACATAGCTTTGGATGTCTAATGACCTCTAATACATCTAGCGAACACACACGCATGTCAAATGATATGCCATCTTGGACTGTTGATAAAACTAAGTATGTTTTATAGTTTGATGCCCTTGTTTCTAAACTTAATCACAAACTTAAGTCAGCTACAGCTGGACAGTCATCTCTTGCTATTAAAAGTACCATCACAGTATATTCAAATGACACTTGGGGAACTCGCAGCCACTCACACGCAGCGTCAAGTAAATATGAAGCCGCTTTACAATTTTGTATCCCGTCATGTCAGCCTATTTTGCCTATTTACATGTCCCCCACAAGCTCCAGGTACCTCCCTGTCCAAGCAGAGATCGGAGTGCTGCCCAATTCTGTAAAATGAGACCACGAAAGGAAAAGAAAGAAAAAAAAAAAATCACCTTTTAAAATGTTAACCCAAAAAAGACCTCTTTGATAAAGTGATGGTAATCAGAGAGAAACACTTCTCTCTGGGGAGCTGCTTATTCAGGTTGCTCCAGGGACCTTTGATTATACAAGATCCTTTTTGTTTTCTTCCAGAAATGAGTTTAATGCAACTCGACAGAAAAGAGATCTCGTAACAGCCGAGGTAGGTTATACCTCCAAAAAGGGGAGGGAGGGGAAACCCTTCCCCCTTTCCTGCTCCGGGCCTTTGCCGTCCTTACAAAGGAGCCTTTGTGGGGAGAAGGGCCGCGGTAACAGGAGGACAGTGAGGAGGAGCAGCTATTCCCTACCTGCTTGCCCCCCGCCTGAGCCCGTGGCCTCATGCCTTCATTCACTCTCAGCAAAGCGCCTAGTGGGCAACCCACCTTGACGAGCCGACTGACGCACACCACGGGAAATAAAACCACGATGCCTCTGTCTTTTGTGAGGGTGAACAGAGAGCCCCGGAAAGCTGTTAGTGTTTGGTGACAGGCACAATGGCGGCACCACCGGCAAGGCTCCCTCCCGCACGTGGTGTGGTGGCAGGTCCGGCCTGGCCCTGGTTCCCACCGCCCTGGCCCACCGCTGCCTCAACACTGCATTCTGGCAATGTTACGCTGCAATTTAATAGTAAATGGGGGAATCTTGTTCCCCCGCTGGTACACGTCTCAGGCTATGGAGCCCAAGCAAGGGCTGTTCGATGGGGGCAGGCGGGAAGCCCAAGGCGGTCCCTCCTCACGGTCTTGCGGGGAGCTTGCAGCCAAACCATGGATGATTTTCTCCGAGTCCCTTTGAGATATACGTGCCTCCTGACCGAGTCAGAAGGTAGCTGGTATGAAACGCTGCGCTGAGGTGAACTGAGCCTCTGAGGGAAACGGGCCCTCGGGACTGATGGTGTCCCAGGAGGGCCTTCGGCAGGAAAGTGCTGTCGCAGCAAGGACGCTCTACCTCCCCGAAATAACACAAAGGCCAAAAGCCACTTTCCTGAGGAGGATGGCTCAGAGTAACAGGGGAAATGGAAATGGGTCGTCTTGTGCCACGGTCATGGGGACCAGGAATAGTTTTGGTGCAGGGGCCTTCCAGGTGATTTGATGCAGTCCATTTCAGGTTGATTTTAGAGAGATTGTGCTACTTGGATACATCCCACAAGGTATTTCCAGTTGGAAAAGGGAAGTTTTTATGTCACTGTATGAGGCATTAGTAAGACTTAACCTAACCTGTTCCTTGTGCAGTGCCATTCACTTTGAGATCCATTAGTTCAAACTCCAGACATGGAGAATGACTGGCGGCAGGAGGGAAGAAAGAAATTAGCTTACCAGCGAAGACTTAAACAGTTTGTTTTGCTTAGTCGTGCAGCTGAAGGCTGGCGTATATGTCTGTGGGGAGCACAGAAGGGTAACTGTTTTCTCATAGAACATCAGAGAGGGAATAAATAAAAACCACAGGGAAGAAGAGCTATTTCAGCAAAAGGGCCAAGCTTTATTAAAAAAAAGGATTTAAACTGGCCATGAATAAATGTAAGAGGGAAATAGTTAACTACCCAGCACTTCACCCTGGTAAATTTTCCAATCAGACTAGTGGGGGCAAAAACCCCAGAGTGCTTTCAGCCTGGAATGGGATCAGTTCTTGGAAGGGACGATGCGACGTGACAAGCTGCAGTAGCAGAGTGCTGGGTCAGATCCAGGGCTTCCTTATGGTCCGATGCTCCCTGGTTCCTAAACAAGACAGGAAGCAGATCAGGCAGATCCACCTCCTCTTTTTTTTGGGATGAACTAAATGCAATTCTGAAGGATCTCAAGGAGAACATGAAATCCATCGCAGCTGGAGTGGCCACAGTGGGATGATCGGGGTGAGGCACGGAGCATGAGTTAAGAGAGTGGATAAAATGGAGGGATATCACATCTTCGACCTCTCCAACTATTGGTATTTGAAAGAAGTGAAAAGGTCAGGAGTGCTCTCTGGCCCCTCAGTCTTCCTTCCAAATGTAAATGCAAAACTTCCCAGGTGGAGCCCCGCTGGTTCATTGGCACTGCAGGGGATGGAGAAGAGGCCAGCGGTGATCCCACAGTGCAGCTGTATCCTTCCCAATTCCCCCAGAAGCCATGCTTCTCCTCCCCACTGTGCTGGTTGCTGCAGTCACTGCCTTCCCCACTGGCCCAGGCTGCCGATCCCTCCTGCAGCGCAAGGGGCTGTGCCATGTGCTGGCTGAGCTGCAAATCACTCTTCTGTATTAAAAGTCCCAACCCAATGTTAGGCTGCAAGGCCTCAGGCTCGTATCAGCTCGTTTGTAAAGCACAAACACCCTGATTTTGCTTTTACGTTTCTCTGACAGATTCAAGCTGCCTCTCCTTGGTCGCACCTTCATGGGCCCTTGATGCGGAGTCCGCCGGGAGGTCAGTGCTGTGCTCCTCACCCGCAGGAGGAGAGATGGTCCTGAAAATGCTGCCTTCCTACCAGCTCTCCTGTGTTACCGTGGGTTGTGGAAGCCCTCCTCATTATGTCCCCTGCAAAACCCTGCCCTGTCTCATTTTCTCCTTTTATCCATGTTAAATCATGGAAAATCCCTGTTAAAATTGTACTTTCAAAATAATGCCTTACAACCAAATCTGAACAGCTGACTAAGCCAATCCTTTGATTATTTTTTTTTTTAAAGTTTAGTTCCATTGCAATTTTTCTTTTCTGCCACTTTTTCTGGCCTTGGCAGAGGGTGTAAGTATGTCTGAGAGGCGTGTGACTGGTTATGTGAAAGGACAGGGGTGCTCAGGCAATGAGCACGCAGCAGCTCCTGGAGGGTTTTAAGCATTGCACAAACATGTAAAGCAGGTCCAAGTTACAGAAGTTGTTTTGCAGAAAAGTTCAGTTGTATGCAACTGAAATTTGGTATCCTTCTTGGAAAATACGTATGCCTGGGTAGGTGCTTTCTGTTGTGTTTTTCCATGTAATTGAATATATGTAATTTTACAGCTCACAACTCTAACAACGACAAAGAAGTTTTCCACATTAGTGCTGTTCTATAAACAGTATTTGCTGCTTTGTCGGTATTTTCAGAGTATCTGTGTATATTTGGAAAGCAATTCTTAAATGGAAAAAATTCAAAACTAAGCATGGAAAGGAGTTTCCACAGTGAAGGCTGATGTTCTTAATCGCTGGTAACTTCTATGTGTACTTTACTGTAAAGGTCCCATTTTGTTCCCATTTAATGTCACTAGCAGCTTTACCATGGCTTCATTGGGAGTGGAAGGGCCTGTTTATTTCATTTACTTCCTGCGTTTTGCAATGCTTTTTAATCTCTGTCAACAAGATTGTAAGCGCTTGTATCTAGGGTTTTAATCCTCCCCCAAGAAAGAAAGCAACTATCTGCAAAACCTGATGAAATTTTGCTTTGGGACTACATTTCTTCTCCACTTTTGGAGAACTATGATTTAGACCCACCTCAGCGAATGGTTAGTAGATGACAGTGAGGTCTTAGCTTCCAAACAGACTATAAAACCCTTTAATGAAGCTGCTTTTGGAAACAATTACTAATTATAACATGAAACAAGCCATTCCCATGGAATCTTAAGTCTCTGACTTCAGTCACCTCTTAAGCAGAAATAACCTTTTAACTGACTTTTTTTTAGCATGGGGGGAAGGTTATTTATGATTGGTTTTGACTTTGTAAATTATATATTCTGGGCTGCTCATAAGCTGAATGTACCCTTTGCTGTAATGCTTAGGAGGGAGGAGCTGAATATATGTATAAATTGTGCTGAATTTAGTAAATTAGAATAATCTGTGTCCTGTGTATTTCGAGATCAGCAGGGCTGGGATTTGGTTTCTTTACATGGGAACTTGACCTTTTGTTTGCTGGGAGGAGGTTGACCTTTTGCTCCTTTGTTAGTTTACAAGTCTCAAACCAAACGAGAGAGAACCTTGCTTCTCTTTTAACCAAGGAACACAAAGGGTAAAATTAAGTAAATGTTAAAAACTGAAGATTGTTGTTGTTAATTTTCTTAGCTAATATAGCTGCTTATGATTTAAAAATAAACATTTAATGTGGATCTCTCAGCCTGTTTGCAAAATACTGTATCTACTAAAAGGCTGCTATGCTTCCTTACAGGTTCATGTCCTCAGGAGTGCCTTAATGGAGCAGCCTGCACAGAGGCAGGTGACTGTGACTGTCAGTTATTTCAGGCTCAAGGAAGCAGGTGCCAAATTGGTAAGTTTTGGGCCAAAAGAGTCAAGTTTCAGCTTCAAGTGAGATTTAAGGTGCAGGTTTTTAAAACAATACTGTTAACAGCATATTTGTGATTCCTCTGTAATAGGACTGTCATTCCACTAGTAGCTAAGAGGATTAAAATGATATGCGTTAGGGATATATATAGAGCAACATAAGGAATGCCTACATTTTAGCACTTGGGCTGTAATGGTACATAGATACCATAACAGATAGATCACTGTCTAGTACATCAGTAGCTAGCCAGGTTTTTTATAGTTAGTTGAACAACCAAAAAGTCACTGCATTTTTCTAACAAACTGTGACTTACCGCAAATAAAATTACCAACTATTTCAATGCACTGGTTTCTGGAATCTGCTGTATGTAGGGATCAACAAGAAGAATTGTTTTCCAGGATCTGCAGTAGATCTAAATCCCTTGCCTCTACCTATAATTAAAATGTCTTCACTGAAGAAAATTAAAAACTTATGATGATCGCATGTGACTAAAACTGCAGCCTAAACATTAAAAAAAAAGTACTGACTTCATTTAAAGCTGAAGAAATGAGGTTATCTTTTGTCCTTGCTATGTATTTCCTTTATAAGCTCTTACTTCCTTTCTGAGCTCTTACTTTTGTAGCTGCCTGTGACACTGTCAATTTTTGATTATCGTGCTTGTTGTAAACTCAGTGTGTTCTCTCCAGTACCTAACACTGGTAAGGACCGAGATGGGATTTGCAAATCATGGGGACAGTATCATTTTGAAACATTTGATGGCATCTACTACTACTTCCCAGGAAATTGCTCCTATATTTTTGCAAAAGACTGCAGTACTCCAGCACCCCAGTACACTGTTTGGGTAAGTATGTCTGTAGCTCACATAAATATGTCTTTCATCGTAAGTAAAATAAGTAGAGAGACAATAAATGGATCAAACTGTTGCATTGCTTACTTAAATATAAGACTATGCCGCTGGAAAATGTCTAAGCCTATGTGCAGTAACTCAAAACACTGATGAAATGATAATCAACAGAGTCAGTATATTAAAAATAGTATTACTTACTTCCCCTATCCTAAAAAGGATCTCTGATCTCTGATCTCTCCTTTCTGGGAGCAAAAGTGGGTCTTAAAGCAGACCTTGGAAACTTCAATAAACTTTAGCTGTCAGATTGTACAAAAACTTGAGCTGCTGAGTAAAGTGCAAACAGCTGTCACCTGCCTGATAGCTGGGCACCTGAGCGTACCGGGCCCCGATTCACAGCCATCGGCACGTTACGGGGAGCTGCCTCCCTGGCCCATGGAAAACTCTGTCCCCTCTGGGGATTTGCATTCTAATTTTGGATTACCTCTACATCACGCAGAGAAGATTAACAGCTCAAAAGCCTTCATATTGACCTGTGTATGGGAGGCACTCTTTTTAGTAATTTCCTCAAGTTGCTGAGTATCCACGGTTAATGACTTTGGGTCAGGGAGAGTTCAAACCTATACCCTCTTTGAAGGAAGATGCCCTATTTATCAGGCTATTGGTTACTGTGGGGAGAGCATACGAGCTCATTATGTTACTTTTTACACAATGGTTGGGGTTTGGTGCTGATTGGGCAGGGGAAAGGGGACAAGAGGGGTCCTAATTCTGAGCTGTGGTGGTCACAGTGCTTGCAGGGGCAAGGGCAGACCTAGATGCTGATTTCTGCTCCAAGGACTAGTTTTCATTTATAAACACGACCTCCTCTCCGCCCAGATAATAGCATCTAGTGAAGATAAATCTGCCATTAAAACTGCCATTTCTATTCACTCAGGATATAGACAGATGCTGTTACATCCGCCTTCCATGATTTCATTTTAATTCTTTGGATTCTGTGTGCAGCTATGATCTTTTAGGAGTTTTCAGAAAATGCTGTAGCAAAGCCCAAGATTATATTAAAATCTAGAATCAATATTTCAGTGGATTCCAGGTGCTCTGGAAAGAGAGAAACTAACATTCAATTGCTGGAACAAATGTCATGTTTTGCTAAAAACTGAAAATGTTTACTCAGTAAAGTCATAAGTAATGTTGAAGCACTGCAGTCACTACAGGCTGGGCAAGAGAGAGCCAAGACCCTTGCCAAATCCTCACATTATGGTCCTTCTGGCTTTAATAATCCACCTCTCTAGAGAAGAAAACACAGGAATTATTCTGATTTTCCTTGATTGTGTTTCTGTCTTGGGCCAGGTTTACATAGAAACCATCTGTCAATACTAGTAACATTTATGATGTCTTTAATTATGATTTTCTTTATACATGTAAAAACTCTAATGCTTTTCCTGGTTTGGTTTATTTCACTCAAAGAGGCAGTAACTGGTTTTTACTTCCAGGATTAAGTGTCAGTGTAGGAAGATTAATTCGAGGACGTGTTAGCACTATATGTGTTTGCCAACAGACCTTTTCTACAAAACCGATAGCTCTAGTTACTTTTACAGCCTCCATTACTTATGTTGGCAAAACATTTCCCAGTTACTAATCTATTTAGCTTTACAGCACTGTCAAGTAAACTGGTAATGCAACTCCCATCCTTCTCAGAGAATGGTGACACACATAGTCATAGGAGTCATATTTGAGCTATCTAAACTCTATCTACATTTTTATTTACATAATGGTAGGTATCTAAGATTCACAACACATTCCCCTGTCTCCTCAGTGGTGTCTAAAACCAGCTCACATGCTTTTGAAGCACGTAGTCTAGGGCATCCTGTAGGTTTGAGTGGCTCAGCCCCACTGAGATTAATGAAAGCTGTTGAAGTTTTGCTCAAGCCCTTGGAGTAGGTATGTGCTTAAAACTCACTTAGACTATGTGAGTCTAATTCAAAACTGTGTAGTAGTTAATTGCTTAGAGCATATGCACAGAAAGTTGGAGACCTATATCCCTATCATCAATTAGAGTAAATCTGAACCCACAGTTTTCAAGTCCTGAGAGCATGCCCTGGCCAACGAGAGCTGTATGGTCTCTGGGGAAAAGGACCTTCCTGCAGGAGTTGTACTCTGCCACGCCGAAGGCTGGGAATGCAAAGGAAGTCTGACTTCAGGGGTAGCCTCCTTTTTGCCAAACTATAAAAAGGAAGAGCACTGGCTTATCATGCCTGTTCCAAGGTCTGATTACACATTTTTTATGCGAGATCTAGTTTTATGCCATAAAACTGTAGACATGCTGAGATAGGAGTTGCACGGTTTTCATTTCTGGAAGCATGCATCTGAGATCTGTTCAACACCTCTCTCTGGTAGTGGGCAGTCATGGAAGTCATACATTGCCAATATCTGAGCCACAGTTCTGCAAATCTCTCTCTGGCTGACTGAAACTTTTATTTCCATTGTTGTGTTCAAACTAGGGAAGCTGATACGCGATTCAGACCAATGCCCTGGCTCACTATACTATATATGCATAATGGGGAGAGGCAGACTTCAGAAAAGCCTGCCCTTCTCCATTAGCAGGGCTGGAAAGCCAGTGCAAAATGGGTTTTAACAGATCCACATAAGTTAGATGCCTGCAGTAATTCGTGGGAACACTCCAAAATCTCAACAAATCCTGAGTGGTTCAGGAAGGCATGTTGCAGTTCATCTGGTGCCAGTCTCAGCTGGCATGGAGAATGCTGGTATTACTCTGAGGTTTTGTATTGGTTTGTAGTCCCCTCTTGTAGATCAGACCTCTAGAAAGAGAACAACAGGGGTGTCTCCTCAGTGCAAATAACAAGCTCCTATGTTGGCAGTTATAAGATAGCTCACTACAGTGTGAAGTTCATCTACGTAAAATACCCGAGTATTTTATCCAGTATTTAAACCACTGTCTTGTGATGCTTTGTGCTATTAAACAGTTGCTGTATTTGTATTTCTCAGTAGTATTTGGTAGCGTGAACTTCTAGTTTTGTGTATCTTTGTAATTGTGACTTTTTTATATTCTAAGTATTTATTTGTAAAGCTCTTTCAGTGATTAGTGCAAAGAAATGTAAAATATCATACATGAGTTTATGAAAAATTGCATGAAATTATTGAGAACAAACCTTTTTTCTTATTGTGTGTATATTTTTCACCTCTAAGGTTCATAACAGTCCTCACTGTTATGGTTCAGTATATACTTGTCAGAGGTCCATCAGCTTATTTTTTTCAAACCTAGAAGAAATAACTATTTCAGGACATGAAGTAAGAAAAGAAGGAATCAAGTAAGTGTTATAATGTGGGTTTTAAGATTTTATTGCAAAAAGATAGCGTGGAGTTTGGGAAATTGATGCTTTTTACACCAGCCAGAGAAAATAATTTGATATATATCTTTATTGATCCCTCGCTGTTCTGTATTGGGGCTGATAGAGCTCCAACGTGAGCAGATGTGCTGGTGCTGATGTAATACCTGAGTGAGGATAGCATACACTCCCCACAGGAAACTTGTGTTCAACTTCTCAGCTGTAACCTAACAATTACCCATCCCTACTTTGTATAGACAAAGTCTGCATCAGACAATTGTAGCTAATTCTTGGTGCATCCTGATACCATTTTGAACAGGGCAGTCATTATTTATTCTTTGTAGCTGTACTTAATGTAAGACATAATCTACTTCTAGACAAGTCTGAATTGGTTGAATCAAAGATCTTAAGTCCCCTTTGCCCCTTTGGGGCAAAAACTTCACAAAACATCTCAAGGTACATCAAACTCCCAAATTTACCAGTTGTTTAATAAGTAAAAAGATGAGTGCAAGGCTATCAGAAGTATGTTTTACTGGCTGATAAAGTACGGAAAATTTCAAAGAGTTGTTAAGGTGTTCTTGCCATCCCCTTTGATGTAATGCTATAGCCGTTAGCACCTGAGACTGATAGCTACAGTGATGCTGTTCATCCCAACAGAAGCAACTTTGGAAGATTAGGATTAGATCCATGCTGCAATATTATTGTCCAGCAGTCTTTGACGAAAGAAGGAAAATACATAGTATTTTCTGTACTGCAAGTTCCTCCATTTGCAGACGTCTAACCCAGTGAAGACCCTGTGCCCAGAAGGGCTGCTGGTGGCCACAGTGTCACATAGCTCCTTGCACAACGCAGCATGCTCATGAAATCACGTATTCCTCAACGTGCCCATGCTGGGCTTTGAAAATGAAGATTCATTATTCTTTCAGGCTTATAATTGGCACAACTGATAGAGATATAAAGCAGAAAAGCATTCATTTTTGATGGTCGATATAGAGCAGTAAACAGAAGAAAAGATAGTAAAAACATGATGAAGAATTGAATGGAAGTGACTGTATACACCTGTGAAAAAGGGCTTAGTGAGTTAGAAGGTGATGTTTTATGTGGTATTTTTCTAGCACTAACCTCATCTCATCTGAGATCTTTGAAGCAGGCTGTTTATTTTTCCAGATTAATGTTGCCTCAGACAGTTGGAAATGCTTTCCTTGAGAGACTGGCTGACTATATTCTGGTGAAGACTACCTTTGGCTTTTCTCTTGCTTGGGATGGAAACTCTGGTATTTATGTTAAGCTGACAGAAGATCATAAGGGAAAACCTTGTGGCCTCTGTGGGAATTTTAATGGCAATAAATATGATGACCTGATACTGCAAAATAGTAAGTAAATAGCTTAGAAATACACCCTTACCTTGTGTGAACAGCTTCCATGTTCACTTTAAATATAATACTGTAAAAAGGCAGAATTCTGTTTCAGTTATTTCAGTAGAAAATAGAATATCTGCTCTACTTTTCCTCATCGTTAAAGATGCTAAGGGAAAAGGTCCCAATTCAAGAAAGTATTTATATGTATGCTTAAGCCTTTTCTTGCTCAGCAAAGCACTTGGGGTATGTTTATCTTAGCTGATGAAAGTGCCTTCAAATAATAAATAAATAAACAAATGCTTGTGGTTTTCTCTATGTTTAAGGATGGAGGGAGAAGGAGAGAAGAGCCAAAATATTAACATTTGGAAAAAGCACCATCTCGAGTCATTCGTTTATATGAGCATCATAAAAATGCTAGTTGAAATATGTAAATTTCAAAGCTGTTGCCAGGGAGTTCCTTATATCTCTCTGTTGGTATGGTGTATCATGGGCCCCCGACTACCCTGTGGGATGAGGAGTTGCCCAGTGCTGCGTCTGAGGCAGAGATGACTTGCAAAGCTGGTAGAATATTCTGTAGTCTGTGTAGAGAATACTCTATAGGGACTTTTGTCCTACTTGCAACTAATGTGAAAAAAAAAAAAAGAACAAGCTTGAGAATATGAGGAATATTTTTCTCAGTCTCTGATAAAACCAAAGATAGGACTGTTTTACTGTTACCATTAATTGCTGAGAGAATCTAGTCCCATGGCCCAGCATATTCTTAAGTCGCAAAAGTTATCTCACTGTAACTTTTTTCCCCTCCTCTGTTTTTCCCCATTTTTTATGGTTGATAGCAGAGATTTTTGACTTTCTAAGTGAAGATGCAGTGTACCTATCTTTGTATAGTCTTTAAAAATCTGCCCAATATAAATTTCTCATACCTCTTCTGCCATGAGAGCAGCAAGTTCCCCGTTTCATGCATTACCTTCTGCACACCAGAGTATAGTATGTTTAATAACTAGTTAAAACTAGTGATCTGTAACAATGGAGAAAAATGGAGTTTGGATGAGATCATGAATTTACACGGTCTCTAAAAAATAGTAATTTCAATATCTTTAAATGTATTATCTGTTATAGAAGACTTCCAGCTCTTAGCTTTCTTCATTTCCAGAGCTACTCTTCTTCACCAGCATCATTTCTTCTAGCATTTTTTCTTTATCAGAAGTGATAGTATTATTGCTGTGTACAATTGAGAGTGCTATAAATCATTTTAACCTTGAACCAGTTGTATAACATGGTGCCTTGACTCTGTGCAAATACAAAGCACGAAGTTCTGATACCTTCACAAGAATAGACTGCTACTTCAAATTACTTCTAAGCCGCAACATTTTTCTAAGTGTTTCCAAATCTTATAAATCATTTGGGATGATGGTTTATCTCCCCCAGCTAAACTACTTCCCCCAGTAGTGTAAGGGAAGCTCTTACATCAATCCTGAGTCTTCCGGAATCTGAATGCTCTCTATTTGCAATGCCCCAAATAAATAAGTTGCTGAGAGGCAGGTAATACTCCATTTCAAAGCACAGTTTAAAAACAAACTCATTTTCTGTTTCTTTATCTTCATCTTTAACGGCATCTTTGTATTTCTTCAATATACAAGGCTGTATCTGTGTATAAAACTGTTTCAAGGACAGTGATTTTATTTTGTGGCATTTTTTGAGGACTTAGAAATTTTTTTCAAGCCATGTCAAAATGTAAATAAAATATTTTTAATGTTTTTGCAGAAGCAGAGTTATGTCAACAGGTTCACCTCTAGACCAAAACCCAGCTTTTTATGTTTGGGAAGGGTTTTCTGCATAAAGAACTATTCTGTAAGAGAGGGAGAAATGTCTTAAGTATCCTTGGCTCTTAAGTAAAATAGACTGGTGGTTAGGATCTTATCTTTGTTTATTTGTGGAGGTCCAAGTACAAATATCTGTTTAGTGTGCTTGCGGGCTTTCCACATTGCAGAGTGTCAAACTTTGTACATCTTGTGCTAGAAGAAGTTAGATTAAGTTTTGGATAATACAGCCCTGTGAAAAAAACTGTAGCTGATTTCATTTCAATACCCTGTCTCCTAACCATGCATAGATATAGATAAGCATAGCATAGATACCGATTACTGTAAGATTCTTCAAGGCTGGGGCAATGTACCCTTTTTAACGTACTTATGAACACAGAGAAAATGTAATATTTAGGTCTTGCTGCAAAGATATGGAAAGTTTGGGTCTGTTTCTTTACTGCCAACCTTCTTGTATGTTCGTGTATCTTCCTCAGCCTGTTGCCATGACTTCCAGTCATGCATCTCGTTCATTAATTCTCCCATGCTCATGCTGTGAGAAGAGCTGGGCATGTAGTGGCGTGTTTGTTGCAGGGCTTTTCTGCAGCAAGGGAAAAGGAGGGAGATAATAGTGCTAACTGACCTTTGTGAAACATGACGAAAGCCTTAAATTGTTGTAAAGAAATGTATTTTTTCTTAAGTATTCAATGCATGATGCTTGTCCTTGTTTGTGTATTTGTTATAAAATTGTCAGTGATTGCACTTAAAAAAAATCCCAACCTTGTCATATACTTTTAATCTTTTCATGTAAATGTAGTATAAAATACTACCTGCAATTAAAAAAGAAAAATAACATTCTTCTACACCACCCGTACTCTGAACATATCTGTAACTGACGTAATGAGCACATTGAAAAACTACCAGAAATTTCCAAGCTGTCTTTTGCGTTTCTGTTGGCAATTTTTTTTTCCTGGATGCTCTTCCAATGTTTTCATGCAGTCGGTGAACATACAGAAGACATTGCTGAATTTGCAAATAGCTGGGCTGTGCAAACCTCAGATGACGTAGCTTGTGTACCTGCTGCCTCAGATTTTTCCAGTCCTTGCTCAGCTGATGCAGAATCCACTGAGGTAAATTAATCGTGGTTTTTTAATATATATATATGTGTGTGTGTGTGTGTATATTCTTAATCTTCACTGCCTGGTGATAGTACAAGAATCTAGCAATATACACGATGTTGTAAAAAGCCTTAAATGCATTGAGGCTTTGAGAAAGGGAAGATTCAGATCAGAACTGCTGCTAGGCAATGTCTGAAGATCTTCAGAAGTTTAGCTTAAAAGTACAAAGGCTCAGATAGGATGTGCCAAGTGGCACAGGTCTGCTGGCAGAGCTCTTCATTGCTGCATTAAACTAGGGTTCAGTTTCCAGTCCTGGCATCTTACACCGCATTATATTGGAAATTGTGAAATACTGCAGAAGTAACATGCTTAGCTCCTGCATTGACACAAAATGCTTTTGTTTTTTCATCCCAGCTGGTTTAGGAGCAGCATGCAATCAAGCCAGCCTAGGCAGAGAGGACAAATTTTAGAAAGAATAATAAAGGAGACATAATAATAAATTGAGACTGTAAGATTCTCAAATTTTAATGGGGATATAAAGGACCCTAGATTAGGGAAACAAAGCTAAAAAGGATTATGCTTGTTCAGAAAGTATTTGCTAACTGTTGTTTACTGATTCTCTTTAATGTGCAGGACATATTCTTCAAGTGCCAAATATTCCTACAGTTTCCTTTTCTCAGCTGTCATGAAAGCATAGATCCATATTCTTATATTTCTAGCTGTATGAATGATCTTTGCAGGTAAGACTGGAGTTCTTGTATATTTAGTTTTGACGCCTGAAATGAATGCTCACTGTTTCATTTGAGACCAGAACTGAGCAGCATTGAGGGAAGTTAGGAGGAACCAAGCTGCGACAGAACAAGGGGGAATGACTTTAAACTAAAGGGGGTTAGATATAGACTAGATATAAGGAAGAAATTTTTTATGCTGAGGGTGGTGAAGCACTGGCACAGGTTGCCCAGAGAGGTGGTGGATGCCCCATCCCTGGAAACATTCAAGGTCAGGCTGGACGGGGCTCTGAGCAACCTGATCTAGTTGAAGATGTCCCTGCCCATGGCAGGGGGGTTGGACTAGATGACCTTTAAAGGTCTCTTCCAACCCAAACTGTTCTATGATTCTATGATTTTAAGTTCAAATCAAAAGAGAAGGGGTTTCTCAGTGGGTGATTTAGTGTGGTAACAAAGGGCACGGAACCAGCCTGCCAAGGGATATTTTTATTGCTAAAGGTTTACATGGATTCAAGGAAATACTAGACACATACATGGAAGAGAAAATCCATGGAGAATCACTAATGACAAAAGAGGAGCTGCTAATCACAAAACGCCTGAAACCTGTATATGGAGGTCCTGAATCAAAAATACATGGAGATGATACTAGGGGGAAATATCAATGATACTGGAGGAGTTGGACCATTTGTCTGACACAGTTGGACTGTTTTTATGAGCAATCACTATGGTTCAAATTAATAGAATTTTTCAAAATTGCTTTATTTATGTAAATTCAGAGTTGTCAAAAGAAATTCAATTCTCATTGGTTTGGGTGCGAGTTACACCCCCTCAGCTGCTGGCATTATATGCAACCTGGTATTTTCCCCTTAGCTCTCCAGAGTCCTGTTTAGTTCTTGTCATTCAAGTTAAACTGGTGCTCCAGAGTGTAATTGAATAGATGACTGAGCAGTGTACCACTTCCTTTTTAGTAGGTTTTTGAAATTAAGAAGTAATTGTCATAAATAGCAGGATTTTTACCAGATACTATTATGGCCTTCTCAGAGTATCATCAATTTAATCAAAAACATACAGAAAGGATCACAAAACTAAAAGTAAGAATCACTCAATATAATTCAGTGCAACTTGTTAGTTCATTTCTGATGAATTCTTAGTTTTCTGCTTTACCATAAAGTCAAGATGGAAGAATTTGTGTTTGTAGGCAAATCTCCAAAGTGTGCTTCCTGAAGTTTATGATCTGTACATTGATTTTGCTCAGGGAAGAGGTGAGTTGCCTCTGTATGGTCTCTTTGTAAGTCAGGAGTTTATTGTGGCTTTTTCTTAGCCAAAGAAGAATAATGAAAAGCAAATTTTCAAATGTGATATTGAATCAGTGTCACGGTGTTAAGGCGGATTTGATTTTTGTCAGCATGCATATGTGTGTTGATGTGAATTGTGTGAATATTAAAAACCTTGAAGGAAGTTTCTGTGTCTCAGAACCTCATTAATTTAGGCTTATTTTGTTTATAAAAGAGACCTCTCTTCTTGTGGCTTAGTGTTAGTTTATGAAGTTTTTTGTGAAGCCACAGTATACGCCAAGTATTCTTTCTATTAAGACCCATTTAATTGGATTAGATAAGGAGAGCTGGAGAGACTCTGATCACTGTAACAAAGAGTATAGTGGTGTTTGATTTGATAACAGATGTGTTGAAAGCAGAATACAAACACAATATAATATATTCTTAAGACCATTAAATTTGGAAGCATGATCTTGTGTGCTGAAAGACAAACTCAGCTGATCTGTCACAGTCATGCTTATAATAGAAATGTCATGTTATGACTAGTTCATTTTGGCATCAAGTCCTCCACAGTGAGTGATGGGAGTTGTTGGACTTTCACAGTAACAAAGGGTTGGTGGTATCTTGCCTTATGTCACTCACATCTGAATAAAATTTGAGCTTACCTAAACACTGATGAATGTCTCTTTACTTGATCCTGGCAAAAGTGCACTGTACAGCTCCTTCTGTATAGACTAAGGCAGAGATAATGTCTTTGCCCAAGGTCACGCTGTAAATCCCTAAGCCTGTCTACAGTATTCAGTGGATAACGCTTCTGGCACCGAGCACTTCAGCACAAGGTCAGGAGTCCACCAACAGGGTTCTTCTCGCCTAAGTTCGAGGCAACTGGAAACTTGAACTTGCTACTTGGACCAGAATGTCCAATATCAGTGTAGGTTGGAGTTTCCACATCATGCAGGAAGGAGAGGGCTTGAGACGTGGATCTTGAGACTGTTGAGTTGTCTATTGTCTTCAAGACAAGGTCATGTTTCTCTTTCAGCATAAGCAGCATTTATCTTTTTTGTAATAAATGAGTAGTTTTGTTCACTGTGGTAGCATTAAACTGAAATAACTTTTTGTGAGATCAAATGATAAAAACACAACAGTGTATTCAGTATAGCTCGTTCCTTTTCATAGTATTTTCACTGTGTGCTGTTACGACTGAGTGGTGTCAGCTATGTGTGAAGTATCCTGTGCAGTGTCCCGTGGCAAAGATTTGTAGATGGGATTTGAGTTCCTTGATTACACTCTTGTTTTATCATTTCAGAGTGGATGATGATGAAACATACTGCAGGGCGGTGACAGAGTACGCTAGAGCATGCTCTCATGCTGGGTCCCCGGTGCGGGACTGGAGGGATGACTTTCCTGCCTGTAGTAAGACTCTTTAATAAAGCATACTATCTGACCTTTGAGATACCCATATATTCATTTCAAATAATTCCATCTTGACAACATTTGTCACTATAGGACTCAAACCCAATACTGAAGTAGATCAGCCAGCTTCCCTATTGCTGGCAAACAATGAAGTCAATGACTTGCTAGAGGAATATTTTAATTCCATTGTGATCTGATCTAGATCCATACAAAATTCATGTTTCCTCAGATTGCTTGAAACATCATGTGTGCTGATCATATTCTAGGACAAAGAACAAACATCTGTGGAGACCTGATGTTGCCCCTATTCCCAGATGGCCTTTCAGCCTCTACTGGCCCTATAACAGAATTAATACAGTTAATCCAGGTCCTTCGAGTTATCACCACCACCCATCAATCGCGGTTCAGTCTCATGCACAAGACTTTGAACTAGCTGAGATATGAGCACATGTTCCCCTGTCACAGAAACTATAACTTCTTTTGGAGGGGTGATGTAAGAATTTGGTAAAGACAGACTTAAATACTGATGAGAGATTCACCACAGCTCTTCAGTTAAAACCTCTCCAAACAATCCGTTGTACCTGATCTGAATAATTACCTATACCAGAAGTGCTGCACAACTGTTTATTTGAGAGAGAGGGGTTCTCCAGTATGGAAAGAGAAATTGCACTAATGTTCAATGTACCATGTATTTTTTCTAGCTGAGAAGTGTGAAGACAGCTTTGTACACCGTGACTGTATCAGCTGTTGTCCACCAACCTGCACATTTGAAAAAGATTGTCTTGGCAGCAACCTACACTGCTTAGATGGCTGTTACTGTCCAGATGGTAAGTACTGTCAATTTTATGTGAAAAAATATGTGTAAAGCTAATATCCAACATCATAATAGTTGTCTAAATAGACTGTGCTTAAAGTTAAAGCCTAAAAATATGAATATTGTAAATTCTGCTCTAGCTGTTGTTATTCTCACTGTGATTTTTCCTTTTATTGTGTTCTAAACATTTCTCTAGAATACAAAGGTGGCTCAGAATGAAATATCAGTTAAAATCTGGAGCCATCACTAATGCTTGCTACAATAAGATATTGCATAGATTTAATCCACTTTCTTTGAAATATTCCAAAATCTATTGAGGTTTTGTTTAAACAGAATGTGTCTTATGCTCTGTACAGGAAAACAAACTTCCTGAGACCTGTACTCAATAAAAATTAGGGCTTGGACTATGAACAGTCCTGTTCTAGAAGGACTAAAGATTATGTGATCTCAGAATCTTTTCATTTTTGAGTCTGTATAGTTTTACATGCTTAAGACAGACATTTTTCATAAAGCAACTATTCAGAGTGACAACGGCTTTGAGAGAGCTTCACTCTTCATCACTCTGAGCTCTCTGCACTCGCTGGGCGACTTTTTTTGCTGGTCCCTGGTTAAGACTGGTGAGATCACCTTCTGGCAGATTTGAATGTTTGAGTCAGGTGGGGGGAAAGCAGTGATCCGGAGTTTGTTAATTTGGTTTTTATCTCATTTATTAACTTTCCTCCCAATAGGTCTCATTATGGAAAATGGAACTTGTATCTCTGTGTCGAATTGCCCTTGTATTTATCATGGAACTGCCTTCCCTGTAGGCTCAAAAATTGAACAAGAATGTAGCAACTGGTATGTGAAGGCCTCACATCTGTGTTTCCTCTCTCTGTGCCTGCTGCCCATAGTTAGTTTAACATCATAGTCACACCTACATATTAAAGAATAGTTAGTATCTATGTTTTACAGGCTGGGCCCTGTGTATCACTAAAATATGCAGGCTATTCTATGGAAAGGGTGAATTCAAGACATATTAAGTAGCTCAAAGCTGCTCTTTTTGCTAAAGATCAGAACACTGACTTTCTGTGTTTTGTGATTTTTCTTTTTAGTATTTGTATTGGTGGCATTTGGAACTGCACTGATCATGATTGCCCAGGTATCTGTATTTCATTATTCTTTTCTCTCCTCAGTGAACATAAGGGATAAACTTTTCAGAAGACAACAGAACCAAATGTGATCCAAGGGCTTGGGATGCTAATTTAAGAAGAAAGATTAAGCAGATGGATGTTGAGAGTAGCAGTGGGCCAGCTGGGGTGAAGCTGTTAACTGCCTGACCATACTCATCTTACCTTTTCCCATTTGCTTCCCTAACTCAGTGTGTTACATCCACATCTTGTTTTCTATCTCCTGTTTACGCTCTATGTTCGTTATGGCAGGTGGCTTATTTCTACTGCCTGTGCAGCACCTAGGCCAGGTATAAGGATCTCCTCACTTCTAGGTGCAACTGTAATGCAAATAATAAGAAAAACATAATTCTGATGCTCAGTGTGCTGTATTTTCTCCCTTGTAACAGCAGTTCATGTTGGGATAATGATCCTTATCTTTAAAGATTACATGTCTCTGTAATGAGTTACTCAGAGGAACATGCAGTAGTCGGGTAGTGAAACTCCCGTGACAGTTCTGTATCTTAGACAAGATTATACTATGAAACTTGTGAAAGAGAGAATTTTTTACAAATTAAGGAGCCGCCTCTGAATGAGGTAATAAATGACTTAACAGCTACTAAGCAAGGCTTGACAGGGTGGATCTGTAGTATAAAATAGTTGATACTGAGAACCACTCCATATGTCTTGTGTGTGTGTTGTGTGTGCATGTGGGGGGGTAATTATGACTACTCTAGTCTGGTCCTAGGGACTGAATGCCTGTTAGTAGCGGGAGCAAGTTAGATGTGCTCCCACAGAGCACCTCCTGCTGCAGTTGCAGCCAAAATGAATCTAATTCATGTGTTCTGACACTGCCCCATGGTGTGAATGAAAGTGCAGTAAGTGGGGATGCGCTGGAGACTTGTTTCAACAGTGCATTCCTGATCTGAACTGAAAAATGAATATAGATGCGCCCTGAAGACAGACACCTGCAGCCTCTTCATACCTGCGGCAGCAAGCAGTGCCATAGTACCCTAGAAGGAAGGAGAAAGAAGCTTGTCCTCTTTCAGTTATGCCAAAAGATGATGAGGAAGAAGATTCTAGGAAACTTCAGAGTTGTAATGAAGAGAAAACTCTTTTGCATTCTAGAGAACTTGTGACTCAAAGGCATCTCATCTAGTTAGAACCAAAAGATGCTGCACATCGGTGTGTGTAATATGAGATGGTATCTGATGGAAATAGGTGTATATAACATATTTTATTTCCAAATGCCGTAATAGCTAGACAGATTAAAGTTAGCCTGGATTATGTGCTTAGAAATAAGGAGAAAGTTTCTTATTTATCTCTCTTCCATCATTTACAGAACAATGGTACATTCTTATGCAAGTGAACATTCTTGTTTATCCTTTTTCTCTCAAGCTGAGTGCTCCGTCACAGGTAGCTCTCATTTCACAACATTTGATGGACGTCATTTTACCTTTCTTGGGATCTGCCAGTACATTTTGGTAAAAGGCACTGGGAAAAACAAATTCACAATCACTCTACAGAAAGCACCTTGTGGACAGGTAAGTCATATTTTTGTGACTTAAATATTTTAGCATATTTAATTTGTTAGAACAATGCCTTTTAGAAAACTATTGAAGAGACTAGCCACCACACATATTTGTTTGAAAGTATTTTGGCAGGTATCCAACAACAGGCTTTATGAATAGAGGTGCTTATAAAAAGTACTTACCTGCGAGACTGGATTTAATGATGTTATTAGTCACCTAGGCTCTCAGGAGAAGGGGCTCTGAGACAGTGACTCACAGCTGCCCGTGTGCAGAGGGCTGGGATGCCTGAAGTCATCAGCATGGAGTGATGCACTGAAGCTGCCCTACTATGGGACTGTCTCTCATGTCCCTTCAAAAGCTAGACTATGAACTTGTGCCTCTGCTTTTTTTGTAAGCACCTCCTTCTCCTGCATAGGTGTTGAGACTATAGGTGTTTCTGCATTTCAGGTGGCCTCAAGCATGAAATGGTTGGTTAGGTAGCCACTGAGAGATAAGGATGCTACTGGAAATGACCCTTAGCACAACTCTAGGCACCTTGGAAAGTTTCTGGGTGAAAACATAGGGGACCCAGGGAGCATAAGATGCTTGGTTTAAGCTGGTTATGTGTCACTTTTTATCCTGTACTTAGGTTCATAAATTCTGCCTGGATAGCACTCTAAAATGATGGGTGTGAGTTAGTTTATAAGTCACCATTTTTTGATAGTCAGATATTTATAAATTATTGTAGTATAATTCTGGAGAAATTATATCCTTTTGGTCTGCAGTCAGAGATCATGACTATGTTTGAAGGCAAGAAGCATCTTCATGTGCATAATAGTTTCTTTCTCCTGCATTGCTGCATTTGGGCTCTGGTCGTACCAGCTTGATGTAGACAGGGTCAGACTCTTGCTCAAACACTGGTTAACCCAGCAATGAGGAGTACCCAGGGTGGCCATGCAAGTATGGCCTTTTGAACCCCAGTACCAGTACTTGGGGACCTCTGCCCACTTACTACTAGACTGTCATAATAGCTAAAATGCATTCTCCTTGCTCTTATATGCATATGAAATGTTTTATTTTGTTCTACATACAATTTTGGGTGCTCTGTTTGATGCTTTGAGTGATAGTTTACAACTGATTTACCTGATGACAGTTCTGGTATTTCCTTTCTATACAACTGTTTTTCCCCCTGTTTGTTTGGTTTTGCTTTCCACGGTGATATTAATGTCTTTCTTTGCCTGTTTCTGATGGTGAAACTTGTTTTTACTTAGAACTTTGACCATGCCTGCATTGAGTCTATAACACTAGTTCTTGAAGATGATGTGAGCAAACAAGTAACACTCACGAGATATGGTCAAGTCCAAACTGGCCCTAACCAAGTTTTACACCTTAATGGTAAGAAGAGCATGGAGTAGAATTTTACCAGGGTTCACATTCTTTCTTTTATATGCTCCAAAGCTTTTATAATAATATCTGTCTATGAAAAAGGAATTTCTTCAAACATAACTTATGAAATGTACAATCACTTACTTCTTATACCCTTAGTAATGGTTCTAGAAATGTACTTTTTTCAGCCTGTGAAATAGAGTCCTCCATTATGCCCTCATTTCTTTGCATTTCTTATTTTGCAGAGTACCTAGAGATTCCACTTATTTTGTTTGTGTTTAGGGGGGGGAGGTAAGAAAAAGAAGGGAGGTGAAAAGAGGTTGGAAATCATCTTGATGCTGATGTTAAGGTTTAGCTTGATTAAAGCTTTTTGTAATAAATGGCATGGAAGAAAATCCACGTACTCTGTGGGATCTACGCTGCTTTCAGCGCTGACTTATGTTGTTATTTCAGGCAGGTTACTTCACCTTTTTGGAAAGGATAGTAAAATAAATCATCCTTAAAAGGATGTTATAAAATTAAGCACTGAAGGTGGAAATCATATTGCTAAATTTCGTACCTTACAGTGATCAGTAGTAAATTCTTACTGAATTTTTAGTCTCTTTCTGAAAGAGTAAAGTGGGAGTTTCCCTTTCCTTTCCCAGCCTCCGGCAAAACAGAATTTAGGGAGTTCTGTGCTGGTGGTTACAGCTATGTCTTTTCTTCACTGAATTTATCCAGTCACAGTTCTGCTTCTGGCAATCACAGCTTCCTATGGCAACAGGTTTCATAGCTTAGTTATACTTTCAGTTATGTTGACAGTTCTGCTTCATAATTTCATTGATAATTTCATTTTATGTCTTTTGAATCAGTCCCTATTCACTTTGTCTCTTTCCATAGTTTGCAACAAATATAATCTATGACAAATATTTTGTGTCACATTCTTGATAATTGGGTGTATCTAGTAAGTCTTATCAGCTAAGAACATCTTTAAGCTCACATAAGCATTTTATCTGCCTCTTCTCAGTTTATGCACCTAAGTGTGTGTATGTGCATGCGTGGAGGCTGCTTGTGAAGGTAGAACTGCTTTAAGCCTGCAGCTGCAAGTAGCCCAACAATGTGTAGCAAATTAATGCTGTGACTGTGAAATTTCCATTTCCTCACATAATGGATTTGCTGGGAAAGAAAGCTGGGAATTTGATAGGGCCTTAGTTCACATACAGCCTAAGGAAGGAGCTATACTGATGTCGTATCAATAGTAGTAAGAGAGAACCTTCTATCTAAAGATTGCAATACACTTTACAGACATCTGCTAATTAATCTTATAACATCCCTGGAGACTAAGAAACAAGTGGTTTCTTGTCTTCTCTTCTCATTGCCTGAGGCATGCTGTTGCATTGCTTTCTTCTAAAAAAAAAAAGAAATGCGAAAGTGGTTTCTGGATAACTCACAGGTACAGGAAGGTGAGAGATTTTTTATTGTCAACAATAGTTGCAATTCCTGATTCGTGTTGCTAATGAAGAAGATATGTAGTCTCATAAGTTCAGATGGAGAACAGGTAAGGTTATTTGGCTGCAGGTGAAGTTGTGCATAGTTTCTCATTTTATTTCTGAGTTTTAAAAATCTATTTTGTTTAAGGGCTAAACCAATACAACCTGGAAGTTGGATTTCAGTGGCTTTGTTTTTCTTTTTCTATTGCTATGTGCAGGGGCTATTGAAATTCAGAATATATCTTCTTTCTTTGTTCAACTGAAAACTAGTTTTGGTTTGAAGATACTGTTTGCTAAAGATGGAGAGAGGATCTATGTTGAAGTTGATGTCGGCTGGAAGAGAAGAACATTAGGACTATGTGGAACCTACAATGGGAATTTAAGAGATGATTTTCTGTAAGTTGCATATTGTACATTTAGACTGTGTTTAATTACAAGTGAAAAGTTTTGTTGAATGTAATCATCTGATTATTTCATTTCATTACCATGCTCATACTTTATTAAACTAACCAATATAAAATCTCTCAATTAAAATGTTAGTCACTTTTTAAAACATGAAACTCATAAATTTAGCTAAGCCATTCTAAGATGTTTACCTAAGTAATTCTAGAAAACTACCATGTTATTTGTAGAAGTTATTAGATGATGATATTGCTTGAATGCACTTTTTTTCCTCCCTGCTGCTTCCTTATCATCAGAGCAAATACATGAGCACTGACAAAAAAGAGCAGATGATAATACTAGTGTCATCCTCACCTGATTAACACTTACTACTGCTTGACTTTTTTTTCCCACATCGAGTTTTAATGGAAAAAAATGTAATTCTGAGCCACAGGAATAGTTTAATTAGAAGGGCACACTTTCCTTATTCTTTTACTTCATTTCCTCCAAAGTTCCTCAAGCTATAATATCACAAAACTTTTCTAGCAATAATAAATTCTTCTGAAATACTTAGTGAAAAACAGCATCCAAATGCAAGCAGCCCCCCTCTAGAACACTGAAATTAGCTAACATGTCAAACACACTGAATGTATGTACTCAAATAAAGGCCATATTCTCCTCTCATTAATGCCTCCTCCAACTGATTTCAGAGTACTTGAATTAAGCATGAGGGCAGACTTTGAGTGTAAGAATATTTTTGCATGAGTAAAATACTGATAAAAAAGCTTCACATGCCCTCTCTTGTTTTATACCTCACAGATGGAAATTCTTTTAACACATTGAATGTTCAATGTTACTATGTATCTAAGGCTTTTTGATGTACTTGCATCCTCACCCGTGTAGTCCATAAGGTCAACAGGACGCTTGTAGTGTTGATCTTTGCCTTTTCAGTTCTCCAGCAGGGATGATAGAAGGGACCCCACAACTTCATGCCAATGCGTGGAAGGTTTCCTCAGCTTGTTCGGTGCCTATCAATATTCCTGTGGTTGATCCCTGCAACGTTAATCAGCAAAATGGTATGTTTTCACATGGGAGCCTGGAATTACCTGTATCTTATTATTATGGTACATTTTTTGTTTTCTCTGTGAATGAGTTGCACATACATGTATTTCAACTTCAGTTTTAGATGTGTACTCTTTCTTTCCTTTTTCTTTTTTGGCAAAGACCATTCTTTCCAGACATTTAGCATGTAAAATGAAGTTAGTCCTCTGTAAATACAAGCTAGTTGATCATTTAATGCTGGGTGTACTGGCCATGAGTCCTAAATTCTGCAGAGTGCTAGGCAGAACACCATCTGTAGTCCTGTAAATTATGCCAGTCAAGAGGATGTTTGTAGGTTGACAAAGAAAGTACAGGAGACAGTGTCTTGCCCAGACAGTGTTCAGATCAAAAGTCCTGTCTCTGGCTTTTCCATGCTTGTTGCATTAAAAGATTCCTTATCGTCCATCAAAGCTGTCTGACACAAACTGATGCAAACAATCTGAGATCCGTGGATTTGTTCCAATTACTGAGTAAAGATTTAGTTTTGGCTGGTTAACGTGCCTATGTTTTGTATTGAACTTTCACTGTCTCCTCCTTTCCATGTTGCTGTCCTTTTCAATTAATGAAGACAATGGGCAGACAGTAGTTGCCAATTCTGACAGAATTTAGTCTAATGTTTTTAATGGTTCAGACATAAGGCCTCACTAAGGATGTGGGATTTGGCCATATTTAGAGCCCATGGGAGGAAGCCTAGAATAACCATAAACCTTTAAGAATCTGGGGCATTCTAAGACTTTTTATGCCTTCAGCATTGGCTGTCTTCTAAATCAGTACATCTCAGCCAAGTTAGCGCTCTCCGAGATACTTCATGCCTCACCTTCAGTTCTGTGCTTCCTCAGTGAAGGTGGAGTTTGACATAAATGTAAGCTGCTTAGAGCAGGAGGGTGGACTACATGACCTTCTGAGGTCCCTTCCAGCCTGAATTTTCCTGTGATCCTGTAATCATCACTGGAAAAAGCAGTCCCTGAGTAAGTGGTCCTGCCCCACGTTACCACCTGTGCTGAGCCAGCACAAGCATTTTTCCAGGTCTGTGATGATCTTAATCTGATGAAACTGAAAAAGAAATTATTATTTGTTTGTTTACTTACTTTGTCAGGTTACTTTTCAACCAAGTCAACTTCACTTCTTGAATCTGGTTTACTGAGGGACTCCAGAAATCCTTGTGTCAGTGTGTGTATGTGGGAATGAACAGGGAAGATGAAGGATAGGGACACTCTTTTAGCAGCAAAGTTGGCTTAAATATGGTCCACACTATGGTATTCCTGAGATACTCCACCACCTGTGGTGGTAGTATGCTTCAGTGGTAGGAGGAGGGTCTGTTGGTGCTAGAAGATATATGGCCAGCGTGGGACTTGCATGCCCTTGAGCTCCAGTTTGTAATGCTTCCTGAGTCCACATGCCAAGAAGTATATGGCCATTGCTGATTTCAAAGCTAAATGAAACATCAAGTAGGAAAAAACATATTCCAAGCTTTGGAGGACTCTTCTAGCTAACTCTTTTGAAATATATTATTTTGCCATTTAAGTTTCCTGCACTACTAGAGGAAGGCATAACTGTTTTTATATAGTTATTTTTATCTTAATTGGATTTTATTGTTGAGGGAGTTGCTTACAATATCAGTTTTAAACTACAGAACTTTGCAGAAAGACATTGTATACAAATTTTTGTTGCACAACTGGCTATGTTTGGTTTTAATATTCTGTGCTATTAATTTGACTAACTGTTATATTAAAATGGATCTGGCTAAAACAATGTCACCTTCTCTTAGCTGGGTATGCATCTCACTGTGATATCATCAATCAAGAAGTTTTTGCTCCCTGCCATGCCTACATCAGTCCAGGATTATACTACCAGCTATGCCGCTTCGACGCATGCAAATGCGGAAGCAGCTGTTTGTGTAATGCTTTGGCACACTATGCTTACGTCTGTGGCAAGCACGGGATCATCGTTGACTTCAGATCTCATATTTCTTACTGTGGTGAGTAATGTTTGCAGAACAGAGTATCTTTTAGAAATGTGTAAAATTCTACAAGTATCATTTGCTCCACAAAATACAGGGATTGGCCTTTTTTGCTGAAAACTGGAATGGTGCCATGGGCTAATGACATACTGAGGGGAGAATGCTAATAGCCTTTATATTAGGCATCTGAGTTGGGAACGCTGAGCTACCTCACAGGGAGTGCCTGTCCCTTTCTGTTGGCTACAGAGAGAATTTAGATTTCTGACTTTGGACCCCTAAGTCATATGGAAGCCTCTATTAAGCTAAAGTAATAGAGCTGCAATAGAACAGGGAGTTGCAGGATCAGGGCTGTTCCCTAAGGGAAGGCAAGCTGGGGTGGAAGGGGCTCCCCAGGATGGGCAGGGCAGGGTGGGCAGTGATTTGCCAAGGAGGATATAGCAATGATTTAAAACAAGGCATTTCTAAACCATAGAGTAATGCCTCAACCTTAACTGCACCATTCTTCCACTCTTGGAAACCTGAGTTACTAGATAGACACAGCCACCACACACGCACATACTTAACATACATAAAGAATAGACACCTACTGCTTACAAAATAGACAATTCCAGCCAAGGAATTGTCTAACACAAACCCAGCTGAATCTAAACATTTCTAACTTAAGAAACTTAAGAGATGCTGGGGGAGGGGAACCTCAATCCATCCCACTCCTACCAGTTTCATGCCAGGGCCAGCAATAGATGCCCAGAGCCTGGAGAAGGAACACAGGTCAGCAGGAGAGCACCCGAAGAGCAGCACAAAGGAACTCCAGCCAGTGAGACAGCTTCATCGGGGGCCCAACTTAAATGCCTCTATGCAAACGCACGTAGCAAGCCAGTGAGACAGCTTCATCAGGGGCCCAGCTTCAATGCCTCTATGCAAACACACGTGGCATGGGGAATAAACAAGAGGAGTTAGAGACGTGTGCATGCCTGCAGGGCTACGACCTTATTGGCATCACGGAGACATGGTGGGATGGTGCTTATGACTGGAGTGTTGGGATGGAGGGATACAGGCTTTTTAGGAAGGACAGGCAGGGGACACAAGGAGGGGGTGTCACCCTCTGTGCCAATGACCAGCTGGAGTGCATGGAGCTCTGTCTCGGGATGGGTGAGGAGCTGACCGAGAGTTTATGGGTCAGAATTAAAGGGAAGGCAGGGACAGGTGACATTACGGTGGGGGTCTGCTACAGGCCACCTGACCAGGAAGACCAAGAGGATGAGGCCCTCTATAGACAGATAGGAGCAGCCTCACGCTTACAAGTCCTGGTCCTCATGG